TATTAAGGTGCAATAAAGTGTAAATAAATAAATAAATAAATATATGCCTTTCATTTTATCAACCGACTTCAAAAAGGAGGAGGTTCTCAATTAGAGTGTATGTTTTTTTTGTATATATGTTACGCGATATCTTCGCAGATTGAGAACCGATTTTAATGATTTTTTTAATAAATAGGTTATACTTCAAGGGTAGCCCCATATAAATTTAGACCAAAATCCCCCCCCCCCCCCCGTTAAGAATAGCAAATAAAAAATTCCTTTTTAGCAACTTGAAGTCGGGTTTTACTTTTTATTAAAAGTTATAATTATTTGGCCATAATCACAAGATATCCAGGCAGTTGCGTGAGCACAGTGCTGATTGACAGTCATCATTTTTGGAATTTGGATGCGCCGTTTTTTCTAAATGGACGTTCCGTAAGAACACATTTTGCATACATATTCCGTGAGTAAGCGTCCATTATTTGGAACTCTAGTAAAACCATATTCATCCATCCATCCATTACAGCCTCTAAAATTGTGCTAAAATTGCCACTTAAGGCGGGTAGTCAAGCGCAGTTTGTTTATTATTTTGAGTTAAAACGTGGTAGAACCAAGCTGTATCGCGAATAGGACGGCTCGACCGGGTAGGACCACGCTCTCACAAAATACCAGCGTAAAATAGCAGCTTAACGCTGCTGTGTTCTTATGGTGAGAGTAGAGAACCGGAGATACTTTTTACTGGTAACGAGACATTCCATCTTAGTCCTCAGAGGCAACCGCATCTGCATTTTGTTTCTTACTCGAAGATAAATGTAGTGCGCCACAGCATCCACTTACCATCAGGTACACTGTGTGTGCTCGTTTGTCACTCTTAATGTATAAAAAAAGTTGTTGTCAGAAAGTATGTCGCTGGCCATCTCCTGAACCGTCTATTCTGTCGCCTCTTACGACTCCTACGGTACAATATGGGGTAGAGCGGACTCTTACATCGACACTTAACATATTAATTAGATATTATATATATAAACTAATTTTTATAATCATTCAGATACAGTAACGGAATCATGCATGATATTTCATACACTTGGTACGTACACTAATATGATGTACGTAAACTAATATAATTCAATCTCAAGTCGAAATTCTTATTAAATTTTGTTTTATTAAAATCTCTTATGATCATCAAAATCTACACCGATTTGCAAAACTCAGAAAAGAACTGGTAAGAAAGAAACTCTGCGACATATTAGTTTAATTACAATTTATGCTAATCAATAGTTGCGAACCGTAAAATTATCACGTAAATACGTGATAGGAGACTAGACGAAGGGGTCTCGACTGTAAGCGTGTTATTATAAGCGATGGTGACGGGAAGCGAGGGTAAATTGAATAGCGAGATCATTGTAGCGGGTGATGCGGTTGCGAGTCGTTACCGAATGTCGCCGGCCACTCTGCGCTCTGTACTCGTACTCGGGATCCATTAGCTGTATCGCCGCGGGGCGAAAACGTTTGATTAACCTGCGTTTGTAGTTGTTGCGGTTTGCTGTAATATACATGTTACTCGTGTAACAACATATTGATAGGAAAACGGGTCACTTGTGTATATTATTATTATTATTTTTTAATTTCGTTTTAAGACTTAAACTTGTCTAGGTAATATAATAACTTTTCTAAAATATTTTTCTCTTTATTTGATAAGATCTTTTCGCCTACCAATTAACACGTGCAAATAGTCAGTTACAATATTCATCTCTACCATCTACATTATTACATTAATATTCCACTAATAATATATTCATTATAATAGTCTTCTACCCGATTTCGATCACGGCGACAATTTCCCAATAGTTTTGGACTCCTTAGGAAATATTACACATCGCTAGTTGACACAACGAGCGTGGACCCTAGCGAAATAAAATCAAAATACTAAGGATATGATGGGGATAGGGTTGGTAGGATGCGGTGTCAGAGAGAACAATTACAATAAAACCAGGCCCAATGATCAACAATTTTATCTACGAATAATAGTTTTGGCCCGTACAATGAGTTGTCACGATTAGGTGACAGTTAAGGTTTTTGAGCTCGAAATAGATAATATAATAAGACTAAATAATCTGTTATTTTATTTGGTTAAGAGGATATCGGGGCGCAGTTTAGTCTAAACAAGCATATCACATTGTGTTCTCCTTGGACAACGAGAATAGAGCAAATATTTTATGATACAATCTATTTCTACCAGTGCCGTATTCATGTCCTGTTATTATTTAAAAACATATTACTTTATCATTTTAAATCAATTTTTTCTTTAAAAAGTAGGAACCTTCTAAATTCCTAAACCTGTCTGATTATACTGCCGTCAGAAGATATTCAGAAAAAAAAAACAAAAAAATTAAACATAAGCATAAACATACAAAATATGCTACAATTTTTCTTATTTTATTTCTGTTAATCAAATTAAAAACGGTCTGATTTTGGAGTAGGAAACAGGACAAAAAGGGAAAGGCTTGGTCATTAGGGCCCAGCGCGATTGTAATAAATCGTTAAAACCTATTACACAATTTCTTGTAGCCCATCGATAAATACAATTACTTACAGTAAACTTATATCTTAACCTCAGACACCTAGGAAGAATAGAGAGAACGAGATTACTTAGGTGTACCTACGTTTACTCTTCGAAGAATTAATTATGAAAATTTAATCAAAAATTAATCTAGCCCTTTTCTTTAATTCGATTTAGTTCGAAAACATGACACCTAGTTAGCAACAATCGGCCTTATACGTGACATTCATCATCACAATCATCATCACACCTTATTAAAAGGCCTACTCCTTTTTAAAAGGCCGGCAACGCATCTGCAATTCCCCTGGTGTTGCGGTTGTTCATGGGCGGCGGTAGTCACTTACCATCAGGTGAGCCGCATGCTCGTTTGCCCCCTCTCCTATAAAAAAAAAAAAATCTAGACAACTGCTGAACATAGTCCTCCCCATAGGTATTTGCCATAGTTAGGACTCTTGGCAGGCGTGTTGGCAATCGTATTTTTTATTATTTTCATGGTTTTTAGAAGACATCCCGAACAATAAAATAACCATGCTGTAAAGTTTCGTCAGATGAATAAAAAACTCAAAAGCATTATTGAAGGGGGGAGCACTAAGGGTACTCCCCTTCAATAATGCTTCACCACCTTCTCATGTATTCCTATAGTGTTACCATAAAGTAAAATACTATTTCAGTAGTTTAAGAAAAAAAAGCGATTGCGTTAATTTAAAAATAGTATTTGCTAAATAAAGTTTGGTTGAGTCCATGTGTAGCGTAACAGTTATAAATATTCCATATTGGTCTTCTAAACTCCGTACAAATGCAGCACTATTATTAATGGGATTATTTTGTTATCGGAAATGAGGCATTCTATATTAATCCTCAAGGATGATAACGCATCTGCATTTTGATTCTTAATTGAATGATTGTGAGTTGATGCTGTGGCCCATAGATCTATATTTCTATGGGCCACAGCATCAACTCACAATCAGGTGGACCGTGTGCTCGTTTTAACCCATATTCTATAAAAAAGTCAAACGCATAAATAAGTAATATAGACTAGAACTAACGGTTTTACGATTCTAAATTCTATAAATAGTCGCTGCGTTTGCCTGTTAATGATTGTATAAACGTTTTAACCGATTGTGGTCATATTTACAAAGTAATATAACCATCGCATCATCTACGTAAAAAGGCGAAACAACGTTTTAATTCAAAACATAAAAATAGAAGTTATCGTAATTATTTTTTAAATTCTATACATATATTTATCTACCCAATTTATACACTTCATAGCAACACCTATTCAGTTCATTAGTTACACAGCGAATGCATTACATAGCGTCCTAGGTAAAGTACCTTACTCCTTTCTAAAAGGCCGGCAATGCACCTGCTATTCCACTGGTGTTGCACTTGTTTGGGCGGCGGTAACCACTTACCACCAGATGAGCCGCATGTAAGTTTGCAAAAAAAAAAAGATTTGGCCATACATACCATGTTGACCTGGCAGGTTGATGAACGCACGCCTACCGGTAGAGCATCAGTCTATGATGAGATGTCTTGACCGCCAATCAAGTAATAAAAAAAGTGTAAGGAGGTATATGTCAACGTTTTCTGTAAGTGCCTGCACAACACATAATATAGATTGCACGCTACAATTATTCGTTAGTGTATATTATAAAATTTATTGCGTGGTAAACGTTGTAAATGTTCAATTAATCTAAATCAATGGAAGCAGAGGACGATTCAGCTGCATAATGATTATAAAAACGCTAGTCTTGTTGTTTACGTGAACGTGTACGTAAATAGTCAGCGCCGTAACCGTATCGGATGCCAGACAATTGCTCGCCGAGACTCGCGAAATGTTCCTAAATTATTGAGATACTATTTCTCCTAAACAGATTACTAGTCTAGACGCATCGACTATTTTTGTTCCTGGTTTACTCTTAAACTGCAAAAGAGACTGCCTGAATTAGCCTATTAAAATATTAGAATAACACGTTTATATTCTTTCCACTGACTGCATTTAGTTTCAATTTTAATTATACTATTTGTCAGTACAAAATATTTTTACATGTACGACAAAATTTAGTACTTTAAATATTATGTTATGAAGATAGAAATGGAACAAATTTGGAACAGATAATAAAGTTATTTTATTTGTCACTCGTATGAACGATGAAAAGTAACTCGGGATGCACTTTCAAAATTCAATAAGCTTTAATAAGAATATTTATCAGTATACCACCGTAGTAGTGCTTGTTTTATTATTTTCCTCTTGCTATGCATAAGATGCTGTCGATTTGTAACTACAATACACGATGCAACTCAATGTTACTCTATATGAAATAAAAATATCGATTTTCACTTTATTTTATATCAAAGTTATATAGCGATCTTACGAAAACTAACTAATTAAGAAGGTACGTTAATAACAGTCATAGTTAAAAAATAACATTTATTTTAAATTTACATTTGGTGATATTTAAATTTTGGGTATTTTGTCAGATGAATGCTTTTGTATAACATGACTGACTAGATTGCTGGAGTTAAAAAAACGATCATTACAAACCGCACAAAAGTAATTAAGTTCAGTACGACCATGCACCTTGATTAAGTGTCGCCCGAGGCTAATTTTAGACGTGAACAATTTGGGGCACTGAATACATCTGACGCCATCTTGCGTGTGCTTGTGGAGTATGTGGCTCTGAAGTGCTGGAGTAGAATTGAAGACTTTCTCACACCAGTTGCATTCTGTTGCACCAGGTGGATGTATCGAAGCCATATGATTGCTCAAACCCCGGTCACTTACGAATGATCTTGAACAGACATGGCAACAATATTTCTTCGTCTCAGGATGTTTGTATTTTAAGTGGTTACGCAGGGCTAATTTCGAGTTAAATATTTTTCCACACACCGTACACGGCGTATCAGCTTTGCTGCAGTTTGCTCCATGTTGTTCTAGAATTTCAGACGAGGCGAAAGTCCTGTAACAAGCCTTGCAGCGATGTGAATATCGGTGCATGTAACGTACATGTTTCTGCAAACTCAGTAAAGATGAATATTTTTTGTTACACGATGTACATTGAACTTCGATTTTATCTTCGGGATGTTTCAGCATAAAATGCATATGCAAAGTATTAGCGTTTTTATATAGTTTCCCGCATTGAGAACAAGCCCGACCACCGTTCTCCGCAGATTGCTCTTTTTCATCATTTAAAATATCATGCAGTACCGCAGTCGAAGATCGAAGGTGTTCGTCGATAATGTCTGAATCTAAACGCACTACGTCTACTTCAATATTTGCTTCGCTTATATTTACACTCATATTTTGGGTTCGTGAAGCAATTGAAAGCAATTGAAAATAAATTTGTGTTTACAGAAATGCTTTTCGTGAAATGTCAGCGACTGATCGTAAAAAAAAGAAAAGCGGCAAAAAAATAATATTTATTTTTTTATTCAGCAAGAAAAATGTCACATCGTAATACTGGCCATGTCAATTCATTTTAATCACAACATAATATTTATTTATCTGTAACTGTAATAATTGTAAATGAGAAATATTAATTTTTGTCATAACTTAATGCAGATTTAATTATATGTATTTTTTTTGGAATAATTAAATGTACCAGCTAACAATTAATTGGAATTTTTAAAGGTAAATATATTATGTAAAATAATTACAACCTGTGTGTAACACGAGAAGTTCGCTTTCAACCAACGATCGACGAATGAATGAGTCACGATTGCACATCGATATACAAGCTTATCAGATGCCGTGCTATGCATCTAGAAATCATAACAATAGTGTTATCTATACTACTGTTGACTTTTTATTATTTTTTTCATTACGAGTATGCAATTTGAATAAAAGGCTGTCTCGAATTCTGTTTATAAAAAGCAATACCTAGCGAGCGACTGAATTCGAGCTTTAATTGCATACGGCATAATAGTAATTTTCAGTTACTTTCCTATTCTTAACTAATTATTTACACTTTTTGGATAGAACGTACTGTCATAGACTATTGTATAATGTAATGTAAGTTTAATACACAAAGTACCCATCTCTTCCTATAAAAAGAGTCCTAGTTTTTTTGCAGTCTTCAACATTTCTTCAAGAGTTCTGTGTTTACACTTAGGTTTCGTTCGATGCCTCTGTGACTAATGAGATGGGCGTCGTGTTCGAAGGATTAGTTCCGCCTTAACTATTATAACAAAGGCCATGTTCACTGAGTGCCTTTCGGTAAAATGTGGTTGCGGGTGTGTCACGTTCCTATTTATATACAATCTAACGTGAAAACAAAAGCAAATACCGATAAATTGCATTGTTTTGACGCCAGTATTTGTCATCTGTAGACACGCCATTGTAAAAAAATTAACAAACATACAAGTTTAAACGTCATGGAGTAATTGGAGCACATTGAAGGATAATCGTTATTATCATCAATGGAATAGGCTGTTTAGTAAATATTACAAAAATATGGCGATTAAACTTGTAAATGAATTTGGAATCGAATAGTTATTCGCACGTTCTTTAGATCATTTGTCAACAAAATATCATGTTACTAGTTGAAGCGAAAAATCTCGATTCCAAATTTAAAATTGGTAACATTTTGTGGCGTCTGCATACGTATGCGTGTGTGTGTGGTCACGTGTGTGGTTTCTTTATCGCGTCGCAGTGAGGTCGGCCGCAGCACTCCGTTCGCCGCCTGGAAGGACCAACAGGCGACTCACGCGGAACGAGAGTCGATACCATTCGGGTGAGTCATAAACATTATAAAGAACCTATCGCTCTGTGTTGACAATGATGCAGTGGACGTATTTAAAATAAATAAGGAATAAAATAAAAGTTTATTGTTACCAACATAATCTCAAATTAGCTCAAGTTTGAGAACTTCTATTAAGTTTAAAAATACTTGTAGAAGACTTCTCCCTTAACTTTACCTTTCTTTACCTTTCATTTAGACATTGCTATTAATAGGCAATGAGTACCCACGTGTGGCCTTGATGAAGGTTATACTGACCATTTATTGATCGAATGCCCAAGACTTAAGTTCTCCCTATACGTCTTTCTTCTTTTTTCTTTTTTCATTCTTGTCCATAACATCTCTCGTCCTAATTGTTTACTGTCTCTTGTGTTTCTTTCATTTGTTAACATTCTATGTGATTTCATCCATACTAATAATTGAAGCTGTAACATAATACTAATTATTTATGGTGGAAGGATATTAAATGTTGATGTTTTGTTGTAGAATATTTAATGCAATCCTCTCACATAAAAGTTTTAATTAACAATGTTAAGATTTCGTTTATTTTCTCTGATCTTACTCACATGACTTCAATTTGACAGGATTCTATTAAGAGAAGCCATAAATTATAGAAGAAGGAGAAATACGGCTTAAGTGTTAACATTAAAAAGGACCTAAAAAGAGTAATTATAATAAGTTTCAATACTTGTTCCCTGGCGTGTTATTACTTATATCTAATAATAATTTAAGCAATAATTTTAAGTGTTTTTAAAATTGCGATAACATTAAACGAAACTATCATTCATTAATTAATCTCATCATTAACTAATTACTTCGTTTCAAGTATTCGTACCTCTTTTTTACATATAGTTAATTATTTGTTTGTTTTAGTATTTTATTTGATATGTGATTTTCTTTAAGTTTCTTTACACAATATTGTGATTATTTAACACTTGGTGGCTCAATACCGTGATTTGTGGCATTGAATTTTGAATTTGTGAATGGCTATAATGATGATGATAATTCTGGTCCATATGGAATTTGGTAATTACTTGACTACAGCGCTATTTACCGGATCCCAACATAGATATGAGCCATCCTCTTTTCAAGTGAAGTTCAGAATTGACACGATCACTAACCGACGCGACGTACCAACTATTAAGTAGTATATCATAAAGACTAACTGGCCCGGCAGACTTTGTACTTTTTTCTTCGGCAGGTGGGGAGATGAGTTTTACTTCCAGTTCACTCCGGCATTTTGAATATAAAATTTATTTATAACTCCACCACAGCGCCACCTATCAATTCTAGATTTATGTGATTTTTAGCACTAATCCAAATACATATTGTGAACATGAGTCATTGTAGTCCATAAATTTTGAATTTGTTAATAACTTGACTACAGCGTCACTTATCGGATCCTAACATAGTTATGAACCAACGTCAGAATTAAATAAAAAATAGCGTATGACCTCAATTATCGTTCAGAAGTTACACAATCACTATATACGCACCAAGGACCATTATAATAATATAATATGTAAACAGACTGGCGACCCTCCCTCGCTTCGTCTTGGTAATTTATCTCAGTTATCTAAAGTAATCATCAATGACCATTCATATAATTAATTTTTCCATTTCACAAAAAATAATTAAAAGTTATTCGGATAAAATATATAGCCAAGATCACTCCAGCATTGCTTTCTGTTCTGTGAAATTTCATCCCGTCATAGCCATAGACAGACAATTTTTTTTAGATTGGTTTTCCATGCCTTAACGGCATGCAATTAACACTGTGAGCTCGATAGAATGCAATTATTTCGATACTACAAACAAACATTTAACTATCATTTATATACATATTACAATCCTGAAAATCAATCCCTGCGTTTTCAATTTTGGAGATGGTCAGAAGTTACCTGAGTCTGTCGCTGATGTGGTGCTTCAGGGAATGAAACTTTATTCCATCACATGTGGTACCTATCGGAGGCAGAACTCAGCTATAGTTTGGTCGTTCCTGCAAAATTGCTTCACGCCATAAGCAGAAGTGCTACCGGGCCTGGGTACCAGCGCTCTCCAAAAGAAGTATAATTCCGCCTCCAAGTCATTCAAAAGTGTCATTGACATGGCAGAATTGGTGAGAAACTAGTTCGACTTTCTTCGGGAACTTGTGCACTCTGGTCTCTCGCGAAGATTGTCCAAGGGACTCACTGGCCCATGCCGCAAAGGAGAAAACCCATCTGTTAGGCTCTCTCTTTGCGTCCAACTCGTCTCATGATGATGGGGGAACGCACTGCCGACCATCCTGCGAATTCAGTTCTCCATGCAGGATGTGCTGTTTACCCAGCGCTCAGTGCGCAAAGCAATCCTCTCCCTTGACATCACCAAGTCGAGTGGGCCTTATGGCGCCCTCCTATTGTGCTAAAGACGTGTGCCTCAGAGTTGGCACCGGTTTTAACGCGTCTTTTCCGGTACTCCTACACCCTAGGCGTAGTCCTGAACGCATGGAAGACGGCTTTAGTGCACCCAATCCCTAAAAAGGCGACCGCTCAGACCCGTCCAACTACAGGCCTATCGTCATTACCTCCTTGTTCTCCAAAATAATGGAAACCATCATAAACTGCCAGCTTATAAGGTACCTTGAGGATCACTAGCTGATTAGTGACCGCCAGTACCGTTTCCGTCAATTCAGCTGGTGATCTGGCTTACCTAACTGATAGATGGGCGGACGCATTATGGTCAAAAGGGGAAGTCTTGGCTTATAGTTTGGACATTGCAAAGGTCTTTGATCGGGTTTGCCACAAAGCGCTTCTTTCGAAGCCCCCTTACCATGGGCTTCCCTAAAAATTGTGCAAATGGATCACCAGTTTTCTTGCAGATCGGAGCATCATGGTCGTAGTAGACGTTACAAGCTCCGATTACAAGCTTATTAATACTGGTGTTCCACAAGGCTGTGTGTTATCATCTATTTCTTCTGCATATCAATAATATGTTGCAAACTGGTAACATTCGTTGCTATGCAGACGACAGCACTGGTGATGATTTATGCACTAGCCGTGCCAATATTTCTCGGTAAAACGTCGTCGAGCTCCGGAACAAACTTGTGTCTTAGGTCAATTGAACAAAGGTCTTGAACAAAGTCTCGGATTGGGGCAGACTAAATCTAGTCCAGTTCAAACCTCAGAAGAAATAAGTTTGCGCGTTTACCGCTAACAAGAATCCCTTTGTTGTATCTCCTCAGTTTCAAGGCACTCCCCTTCTTGCTTCAGCCAGTATCTGAATTCTAGTTGTTAACATATCGAGTGATGTGAAGTTTCGTGGTCACTTGGATGAGAAGGCCAAATTGGCCTCTAAAAAGCTTGGCGTGCTATGCAGAGCGGGACAGTATTTCATGACGGCACATCGCTTGCAACTTTACAAGGCGTAGGTTCGGCCCCACATGGAATACTGTTCCCATCTCTGGCCAGGGCCTCCCCAGTATCAGCTTCTTCCACTTGACCGCATCCAGCGGAGAGCGGCTCGAATCGTCGACGACCGAGTTCTTTCCGATCGGCCTGACTCACTGGTACTTCGAAGAGAT